TGGCAATATCTCAGAAACAGTTGACTGAAAAAATCTGGTCTTTTCAACCAAATATTATTAATATATGATTGACCAAATTTAGTTTAAATGAACTTGCATACCTATATATAACATTAGTTTTTTCAATGAGAATTTTTATTTGTAAACCAGTGACACTATTTTTTTCATGTCACTCATCACCTAAAGGGGCAATATCTCCATATATTTCTATAAAAACCAAAAAAAAAATTATTTACTAAATTAGTACATATCTATATTATAACCAATTTTCATCTATTGGGATATGAATTAGAAAATGATCAAAAATTATAAAAAATACTCCTTTGCTTTTTTGGGCAAGATGTTTACAACATGAAATTTAGAACAGTAACTAAGTGTTAAAATTCAACAAAGTGTGCAAGCCAAAACACAGTGCTTGTACATCTTTGGAGTTTTTAATTACCTCAAATATATTTAAAAGGACATACGGTACTAGAATCTATTTGTTTTCAATATAAACCAAGGATGGGAAGGTGAGAAAATAGGAATTTTCTGAGGTGTTTTTAACACAGACAATGACAGCAGACATTTTCAAAGGCAAATTGTGGTGACAAAACCAAAAGTTATTCACTTCTCTACTCAAAGCACTGAAAAACACCATAAAGAGAAAAACATTTTAAACATACATCAGGTAAGCCTTTTAGCTCAATTTTCTCATGTTTCTGTTTGGAAAGAAACGGTTTTTAGCCAAAATTATTTTGCACGCCAATGTAGGCTGCTATAAAATGTCAGACACGCGTTCTCTTTTGAAGTCTGGCTCTGAAAAACAATCGCTTTTTTTTAGTTTGAAATAATCTTTCATTAGGACTAATTGTGTAGAAATGTTATCTGTATGCTCAAATGAAAAAGATAACCTAATAGTCAGGTATTCAACATAGCTATAAAAGGGTGAAATAAGGACTTTCATCTTTGGTTCTTTGTCAGACATGAGAAACCACATTAGTGCCATTTTGTCGCGTGTGCTATTTTATAAAATAAACACCTCAAAACCATAAACTTTTAGTTCAGAAAATTACAAAGTTTCCCATAGACATTATTAAAAATGTTCTAGTGAAACGATTTCATGATAAATAAGCGAGCAATGGGCCCGAAAGGACGGCTAAATTATGTTTTTGTTGGGACTTCAGTTTCATGGCTTCCCGCAAAGGAAGCCATTTCAGAGAGAAACGACAACAACGGCAAACAACCGCCGCGACTAAGTTTTGATAACTTTTCCTTCTGATTCAACATGTAGTTACTAGAAAATGAGGTTGGATCAACATTACTATCTGCCTTATCGATTTAAAGTTTTATGGGGATATAAAACCCAATACAAAAAGCATTTTAAAAGCTTTAGAACTCAAGTGCGGACTTTTTGAGAATTCGCACGTGGCAAGCAAGCGCATTAATTCAATACACTTATTTCAAACCACAATATGTCTGAAACGAGTTGTCATTTTAAGACTAAATTGATGAAAATAGATATAACAGTGATTTTGGAATATCCTACTTACTTAGTGTAATTTAATACTCGAAGTATTCTTGCCAAATAGGGCACGTACGCACACAGTAATTTAATCTGGTGTCGTTTGAAACATACTTTAGCTAAATGGGGTTACGAAAACAGTCGAAATTGTGCCCAAATTTGCATAAACAGTTCGTCTAAAAAGATAACTTTAAACTAGATTCAACCAACATTAATGCAGTCGAATTTTGTGAGTGTTTGATCGCATATTTCTACTCAAAAATACCCTTTAAAAATCGTATCTGCTCACTTGTGTTCCGTGTTCATCTTTCTTGTGATTTCCGACTTCTATTTTTAATAAAGTTTGGAGAAATCCTCATCTTTTTGGCTGAAAATCTCGCGCATGGTTCACAGAAAAACTTGGCCCCAAAACGTCAATACATTTGCTTTCCTTTCATGCCAAATTTTCGTTGTAGTTGATTCAGAAACCTCTTCTTTTCTAGCTTTTAAAACTTGCTGTAAAATCTTTCTTTGTAACAGAATCGCAATTATTCATTATTTTTGGAAAACTAAGATTTTAAACTTGAAAAACTTTGCGAGTTTCTGACTGATTTTCTTGCATGATACACCGTTGAAAAGCTCGAATTTCACGTTCTATTTTCGTATCCGTTGCTAGGCAACCCGATAAACACGTGCTCAAATATCATGCCCGCAAGTTAAGGTGTCATGCCAGGGCGCATTGTCCGTTACCCACTTGTCAATCTCAGGGCGCATTGGGCGTTAATGAGTTAAGTATATACTTTTTGAATTATTAAGTTTGATGGTAGCAAAAAGATATTTTGTCAAAATGTATGCACTTCACATCGTCTAAACATTTTGCTTCACAGCAGGAGGTTGCATAGTACAAAATATATCATAAGTTGTAAAAAATATACCTGATTTGGTTGCATTTCAAGCAAAGGTTTCTCAATAGAACCAAGGGTATCACCCCAAAACTTGGCAGCTAGGTCGGGCTCTCTTAAATTAACATGACGAGAGAAACCACACGGAGTATCCAAAACAAAAAGATGAGGGGGATACTTTAGGGAGAGATAAAGATCTGCGGCATCTCTCACTGACTCTTGCAGCAGTAAAAATTTTGAAGCCACGGTGATCTACAGTGTAAAAAAAGTGTAAAAAAATTAAACACGTGGATGTCTGGATATCTAACATGTTCAACATTTATTTATCACCATTTATCCCCACGACTTTGCTAAGGCAGAAAAATGGCTATAATTATGAATTTCCCGGGGCATGTATGTAATTCGCTGAAACCTACTATGCATTGCACCTAAATTCTTGATTGGACAAGCTACAGTATATTATATCTGTGTGGTATAATATTACAGGTAATTTATTGTATTGCAGTACCCCATGTCTGCACACCATATGGTAAAATCCACCAGTATTCCCTGGAACCTGTGTAAAACCATGACAGGCAGAAGACCTAGTTACCAAAACAGCATACAAAGCATGTAGACTATAGATCATCATTGCCTATAACTAGGGATCCAAGGATAGTGTAAAGTTTCAAATTGAAAAAGAGACTGCAAGAACTGTATCAGTTACAGTTACATATTTCATTTGCAGAATTTCAGCACCACTTTCTTAGCTACAGGATTGCGTTGCAGATCAGAAGAACATTTGCCTGGTGTGAGTCGTGCGAAATTACATGGCCGAAGGGCCTGTTTACATGGAGGTAGGGTGACCCTATCAGGAGGGTTACCCTGGCAAGCGGGTCAGAAAATACCGATCGTCTACATGAGGTAGGGTTACCCTACTGCTAGGGCTGTGTCGCCCGATAGGGTAACCCTACCTATGCATGGTCGCTAAGCCATGTGTATTAGAAACATGGCGCTGAAACGCAGCATTCTCGTCCAAAGGCAAAGCTTCGTTCTCTGCTTCCTTATGTGTAGATTGCTTATCCGTTTTATTTTTTCTGGTGTTGTTTAAAATACTCACCAGGCTGATATGCATAATCTTGCGACGCCATCGTTGTTTGTCTAGCAGTCACAGTAGGATGTATAAAACATGACGTGTTGCTAGGATCACCCTACCTGACGCATTTTCTTGGCTTATGTAAACAAAAAGATAGCCCTGCTGCTAGAGTCACCCTATCTGTTTGATAGGGTAACCCTACCCCTAGAGTAACCCTAGCGCGCATGTAAACGCATCTATAAAACACATTAGACTAGGGTGACCCGCTTGCTAGGGTAACCCTCTTAAAAGGGTCACCCTACCTCCATGTAAACAGGCGCTAAGGCTAATACTATTATAATCCCTGATCTTTGGTTGTAGCCTCCCGTTTCATACGAGTTGTGGACGGCTCATGTTTCTATTAACAATGCTGTAAGCGAACAAAATGTTGAACTGATGAGAGATACAATTCAGTATTTCGCTATTTAATGTCTGTAATCAGGTTTACATGAATCTTCGCGAGACAAGATATTATTAACGTTAGTTTGCCAAAGAAACAGTTCACATATTAGTATAGTCTATAGCTTTTGTCTTTTTTATATCAGGAGGTGACAGTCGATAACCAGTCTACGCGGTCATTTCAAATGTTTATTTCTTGCCATGTATTTTCGTTTCTTGTTGGTTGAATGATGATCGTGGCTTCATCGCAATATGTTTTTCTTCTCTTTTCCCTCAGTTCAGATCACACATTTAAGTTAATCTTGGCCATGAGCGTTGCGTAGTTCTCTTGTAATTTCACTGTAATGACTGACAGTTCACAATGTATGGTTGGGATCTAATACTCGTACGCTGACTTCATATTGTTGATATTGCTGCTGTCAACATAGAAGTTGGTAATTTCCAAATTGTTAGCCACACTTTGAGGGTTGAACATTTGAGATCATATAATCTTCATTCAATATGGTAATGATGTCACTAAAATAACGATGGAAAGAAAATTAAATGAGTACAAGAGAAATTTAGCCATACACATATTTTATATCAAAAAGATATAAAATTCATTAAAACTCACCTTCTTAAAGCTTTGGAGTGACAGCGAGACTTCTTCTGTCGCTATAATAAGTAGCGACATTGACCCCTCGGAAATCGAGGAGGCAACCCCCCGGGAATCTAGGGGACAATCCAGTGGTGTTCTAGACATCTAGTCAGCACTGAGTCTGAGTCCATTTGAGTTGATAAAAGCTTTTGTGGTTATAAATTGATTGTATGGCTATATAACTATGTTCTGATATGTTGTAAAAAAGATTGTATTTTTGTTATGATTTCTAAGATTGTCAGTCTGACTTAAAGATTAACTTGAAGCTTGTCGATATTGGGATACAGTTACTTGTAGTTTATATATAGTATATTACATTATAACTTCTTGAACTCTTTTTTATTTATTAATAACTAAAATATCAAATAAGTGACACAAAAACAGGCTTATGGTCGCTAAAGTAAGATTCTAAAACACCACTACTTTTTACTCTTTCAGGGATATTAGTGTATATGTGATCAATTTGTGTTTTATAGTCAGTTGTCACTTGACTAATAAGTTGCACGTATTGCTTTTCTTCGATTAAATATTTAGAAAGTGTGTTTTTGTCGGATGTATTTTCAAAAAGGTTAACATTAAAATCACCAAGGATGATAACAGGAGTATTTGGATAATTTATATACGTAGAGTGCAAATGTTTTAAAGCATCTATGAACATTGAAATTTTTACTTTTGATTTAGAGCGATAAATTCCTACAATATGTAAATTATATACTGGTTGGTTTACTTTGAGTAATGTCATTTCTACATGATTATAGTTGCACCTTGATGGTTCTAAGATGAGTTGTTTATTGTGTTTTACGTAAACAGCAGTTCCGTAGGGTGTTCTAGCACCATCCGGGATGAAGTCATTTCTGAATAGTTGAAAGCCTGGAATCTGATACAATTCATTGTCGTCATTACTACATAGAGCAGTTTCTACAAACATATTAATATCTGCTGCTTTTACATTATAATCACTCGCAACGTCAGCAACGTGAAGATGTAATGATCTCACATTTTGGAATAATATTTTAAATGTCTCACTAGTATCTTTATAGAGAAATGGAAGATGACTTTTAAGTACAGAATTTTGTCTTAGTCTTGTCATTTCTTCTTGTACTTTCTTGCTCACAGCTATTTTCTTTTCGTTCAGATTAAGAATATGTAATCCCGAAATGCTTCTAAGTCTGCTAAGAGCAACGTAATGCATGTGTTCTCGATTTAACGATGGAAGGTCGACAACGGCTTCATTTAATGTATCTCCTTGACAACGGTGAATAGTTTTGGCTGCAGATGGTCTTAAAGGAAACTGTCTGCGAAGAACTTGTATTTTATTTTTTGTAAACTGTCTTTTTACCTCAAGAATTGGAACCCAATTTTTTTCTATACTTTGATTGTAAAGATAAGAGTATTCTCTGCGATAATCATTCCCAATATGTTGTTCTTGAAATAAAACCCAGATAATACTTGGTCTTGATGAACCTTCTACTCGGTAATCAATTTTCTTGACTATACATTCAGCACCATTAGTCATACCATCTAAAACTGACACGTTTGTCGTGAGGTCATACTTTGCTTCCTTAAGTATTGAACATACTGAGTACAAGCCCATGGTTTTCGAAGGATCGTTTGGGATTTGTTTTTTGAGTCTTTCTTTCAAGTCGTCAGATAAATCTCCGAGTACAATATCTATTGCTTTAATGTCAACCTTCTCGTTTGAAGATTTCTGAAAAACGTCATGATTATGTTGATCAACTGCCATATTAGTGCTGAATAAATGGGTTAAAGATATTGGATAATCAGGATGTTGTGGACTAATGTTTAAAATTCTTTCTTTCAAAATTTCAATGTCAGCTTCAGTATGATTTCCTTCTCTGATGCGATTTAAAATTTCAGCAAACTCTTTGTCTTCCCTTTGTCTCATAACCTCTGATAATTCAAACATTTGAAAATATTTTTGCCAGAGATTTGTTGCTAATGCAGCATAACCATCCTTTGAATTCTCAAATATCCAATTATCAAACACGGGTTTCAGTTGAAATAAGTCGCCAACAGTTATTATGCTAAGACCGCCAAATGGTTCTTTTGTACCCATGATTTGTTGCAATCGTAAGTCTAGAAAATTAAACATAGCACTGCCTACCATAGATATCTCGTCAATAAAAATAACTTGCATTCTCTGTAACTGAGATCTTATTGTATTCAATCTGTCTCTATCTAGTGTACAATAATTAAACCCTCTGTTTGCAGGAATTTTAAAGGCGGAATGAAGTGTATTTCCTCTTATGTTAAAAGCAGCTTTGCCTGTTGGGGCTACTTTTACAACACTGACATCATCAGGATCATTCTGAGGTTGAGAATTTAAGTATCTTATGAGAGCTTCATACAAAGCATTAGTGACAGTACTTTTGCCTACACCAGCACCTCCGCTTAAAAACAGTCTCATTGGCAGCTTATCAGTCTTGACAGAGTTCAGTACATGATAAAAAAAACTCTTTTTGTTCAACGTTAAGTGATTGGACAAGTTTTCTATAATCGGCATCATTCAGCCTTTTCACAACTAATTCTTCATCATCATTCGTTCGTGGATATAAACCGATATCGTTTATCAGGTCGTATTGGGCATGTTGTTTATCTTTTCCAGGATCGAAGCATCCGAATAATTCACTTGCTTTCGTCCCAATTTCTCTATCTTGTTCATCTCTATACTGCGTATTCGGAGCGACTAGATTTTCTTCACTTTCAATATCTTGCACTGCCTGATCAAGAACTTCGGTGTGATTCTCGTATTGTCTTCTGTTTTGTTCTATTACATCTTTGATAATTTCATATCGATCCTGGTAAGTTTGGAAGTCTTTCAGAAGATCTGTATTTTCATTTCTCCAAGCAGTGTAAAGCATTATCTGTTCTCTACAATAATTTTCTGGATCTTTGTTTTTATTAAATCTAACTGACCGTATGATTCTTGGCTTTTGTCTCTTCACCAGCGTCATTCCACCTTTCATTTCATATTCATCATTTTCATCATTTTCAAATATTTCCTGGTCTTTATCAGATAGATCATCATCTACATTATCATCGAAATTACTCTCTTTAAGATAATCATCTATTAATGATGAATTTGATTTAAGTTTGCTTTTTTGATTGCTGTCACTTTTACAATTGAACCAAGCCACAAAATCAGCGAGACATAAGTTTTCTAATTTCTTTGGTCTTCTCTGATATCTTTTAATAATGTTATCTGATTCAATATCAACAGAATGATCAGGAAGTTCTTTAATTTTATCCATGCTTTTTAACAAGAATGTTCTTTCATTTGGGTCAGATGTGTTGATAAATTGAAATTCTCGAGACGATCGTCTCAAAGGCATTTGCATTACTAAGTAGACAGCCTCTTGTGCACTTATTTCAACAGCATTGAGAAATTTGTTACCAATATGTCTCACCTTGTTAACAATGTTCTTATTGCCTTCTTTTGCTTCTTCACATGCCTTACGAAGTAACTTGCTCATTCCTCTTTGGCCTTTAGTAATATATGAAAGGATATAAACAGCACAAGCATAAGGATCTAATACGTACTGAATATCCATGTTAGCTTTCCAAGCTCTGAGTAAGTTTGGATTGTAACAGTTGATTCTAATCTCAGCTGGCGATCGTTTCAATAACAAAGTGTTATGTTTAAGAGAAAGCCGTATAGCCTTTAGGTATTGGTGTTCTGATAAATTTAACTTTTCGAGAAATTGATCAAAGGTCATGGTTTCACCAGCTTTAATAGAATCTAATAGTGAGTGTATCTGTCCCAAAGCTTTCTTTAATATATCTGCCACATTTTCTTCAAGATCAGTCTCAGACAAAGGCTCTAAAATCATAGTTCTTGGCATTGGCGGTAAAGGGAAGTTAAATCTGCAAACAGCATTTCCTCTTTTCTTGCACGTTTTAGAGTGTTTATGCCTTTGTAAATTTACGAGGTCAGTTAAGTCGTTTGAGTCAGCTTTACATGAAACATAACTATCTACAAAATTGGCAATATCTTCATCAGAATCTTTGCCATACTCGGGTGCATTTTTGATCCAGAATAATCCATGGATATGTGGAGAACCTCTTTGCTGGAATTCAACACGATAGAAAAAATCGCCAACTTCTCCAATTGGATGACATGAACTTTTAATAAAATTGTGAATAAAGAGTTGCACCATATGTTCAAAATTTCGAGCACATGTTACTGGATCTTTCTGTATCAGTTCAGACTTCTTTTGCCAAGTCATTTGCTTAACCTCATCATCAGTATAGTGTTTGTTGTCAATAAGACGACCAAGAATTTTAATCAAATGAATCCAACGCGTTTCAGCAGCTGAAAATGAACAGAACCATGTAGGTTTACCAAGCTGACGAATCATTGCAAATAGATCCTTCTTACATCTTTCAAAGTATGGAGGGGAACCGCGTAAATTTCTTAAAACTGTGAATCCTTCATCTAAATTGATTAGCTTATTAACAGAACTTTCAGACTTCAAATCGCCTGCTGTGTAAGTTTTACCTTTGGTTTTACATTTACGCAATGATAGGCTTGCACTTCCTTGAATTTGTCTAATCTGTAATTTTTTTAATTTGTAAAAAAATATTTGGCACAGACTGAGCAACTTTTCGATCTTGACTTCGTAATTCCCATTTACAAATTGTACTATAGTGAACAGGTACAAGTCTTTCACTGTTATCAGCTTGACGTTTGCCACAGTAAATGGTAGGGAAAGACAGGAATTCAGAATCTTTATCGATAAAAATACCAAGTGGTCTATTTCCTTCTCCTGGTGCAAAACTTATTATTTTATCACCATCTTGAGTAATGTCTGGTTCTTGTAATAGTGTATCCATAACACCTGATGCTCGTTCAGTTGGTTCGCACCACTCATCATCTGTGTCGTTGTCAATCGGGTCATTACTTGCTTGCATTGTTGCTACATTTTCTTGACTTTGAATATTTACTTCGTTTGATACAATGTCTGATGTTTCCTCGGTGTTGTTGGCAATAAATTCTGACCACGCTTCTTCATTGACATTGTTGAGTGGATTTGTTTCATAATTATCCATTACTTCAATTCCTTCATTTTTGAATATTTCACTGTTACAAACCAAGTATCGCGCTGCTTCTAAAACTTTCGAAGGTCTGACATTCTGAAATTGATAATGGTGTTTGTATCCTAGTCGTCGTTTCAATTTGATTGGAATAGTTCGTGACTCGTTAATTGGTCTTGGTAAAACACTAACGGTTGTGTTAACATCAGCAGGTACATTAACTACATTTCCATGGATACTTAGTTGTCCTCCACTAGGCAGTTCACGTACTTGCATGAAAGGTATTCTCGGTGAAATTAGCCTTTCTTCAAGCGAAGTCAAATCATTTAAGACATCAGGCTTTTCTGGGAAAGTCATTTTATTTGCCTTCGCACAACTTGGAAGTTTACCATCTTTAAGGTTTGAGTGGCAAGTACCACATATCCATTCAGTATTATCAATGCTTTTGACGCCAGTAAGACATAAATTGAGAATTTCGTTTGAACATGACTTGTATAAAGAAGGATTGCATTCAGTGACAGATGATCTGTACCATAATTGATCACAACATGTACAAATATGTTCTGGTCCAACACTAATGTTCTTATGAAATGTTTCAGTCGCTTGTGCTATCGTCATTGGTGATCTCGCCTCAGTAGAGTTATTTTCACTTTGTGATGAGGTTTCACATGTAATTTGGGAATTTAAGTTAAGTTTCAGTCTCTTCTGTTCATTCATTTCGGCTTCATTCTCATTCTGTGCAAATTTTCTTTTAATATAGTTCCTTTTTTGAATATTTTTAAGTCTTTCTGGATAATTTTGGTTATAAATTCTACTTGACATTTTTGACGATTCTCTACTTTTCTCAATGTTTGATTGTCTGTATGTTACAGTGGACTTTTTAGAAGAATCTTTAATTTTTTTAGGATTTGATTTTCTATATGTGATTTTTGTTTGTTTTACCTTGTCAGGATTTGATTGTGTGTATGTTGCAGTGGCCTTCTTAAAGGAATCTTTAGTCTTTTCAGGATTTGATTCTCTATATTTGATTTTTGTTTGTTTTTCCTTGTCAGGATTTGATTGTCTGTATGTCACAGCGGCCTTTTTAAGCAATTCTTTAACTTTTTCTGGATTTGCTTTTCTGTAATTTTTATTATATGTTTTCTTTCTTTCATTTTCCTTTTTTTTAAAATTTTCATCCTTTCTTCTTTTCATCATATATTCTCTCATATAGCTTTTTCTACTTTTAGTTTGTAAATTTTGCGAGTTTGGTTTTGGCTGCAGCTTATTTGCTTTCTCATTTTCCACTTGGCGAGAAACAGATTGTGCAGTGGGTGTTGTTGACACATAGTGTAGTTCATCAAGATGTCCGATATAAATATCTCTTACGTTTTCGCCAGACTCAACATAAACAGAGCTTACAACGGTTGATTCACAAAAATTTGGCGCACTTTCAGTTATATGAATTCTCAAACTATTCGCATTCGCAACTGCTTGTATAATAATATGGTCTGCCCATGTTCCTAGCATTGACATATCCTGTAGATATTGTACCCACGATTGCTGTGTATTACTTTCTATGAAATGTTCTGGGCAGTTTATTAAATGTTGGATTGCGAGAGCTCTAATTTGTGCATGACAATCTTCAGTTTGATAAAGTTGATAACTTACACTACGAAAGAAACAATTACCATCACCTGCAATGTTTACTGGCTGTAGTCCTATTCTAGCTAGTCTAGCTGTTAGAACTGACATTGAAGTATTTATAACAGGACCTGGGTTTGATTCTATATCCCCACATAAGAGTAATGAATATTTGTCGTATGTCTCTAGTTTTTGTATAATACATTTAGTTGCGGGTAATAGTTTTGACTCTTTTGACCTAAACATGTGTATTCTTGTTCTATTCTGCGTGCTGCCTTGTTTATGACATTTACAATTTATGTTGTTTTTATCGCAATTAGACGGCTTACAATATTGGGGCCATGTATTGATTTGTCGCTGGAAGACGTATTTCCTGAATGTTATACTGGGCAAATTATGCCAGAAAGATGATATGGGAATTGGGTGCTTTATTAACAACTTTAGCCTACGTCTGCGCTTTTTAGTATTTTTCCTCATCAGATTAACAATTTTTTTAACGGGGATTAATCTAGATGCTTCATGATGGCGATCTTTGACGTTCAGTTCTTGTAAACGTTTTAGAATTCGTGATCCACATCGAACAAAACTATGAGATACAATACAATCTCTGTTTTGTCTTAAGGGTAATGCATTTATAGGTGCAATATGGGAATCAAGTTTATTTGTTTTTGTATTGAAATTGTGACATGTTTCTAACAGGGTAGTGTTGCATGTAACAACGTTGACTGAATTTATAATTTCATAAAAGGTATTTAATGGCTTATGACAAGTCATTCCAACTTTTGTTTTAGTTATCGATAGTTTATCATAATTTTCCGATAGTTTCCCATAAGTTCGAATAAATAGTTCACGATTTTGCACCATTGTGCTAGACCCATGAACAAGGTCTGTAGCGATAGGGCGCAGCCTACCTCCTTGCCTTTGAGCATCCGAAATGCGAGCCTGGCAAGTAAAGACTGTGGCGATAGCTCGCAGGCTATCTGCTAGTCTTTTGCTTTCCAAAAAAGCTCCCCGACTAGTCAAGGGATTCCCGGCAATGTCACAGACTATGGAGTCCATTTTAACCAATGAAATGAATTAACTTTATAGCTGTGTCAACAAGAATTTGGGCTCTAAAATTTCCTGTCTATTATTCAAGGTCCATTACTCGTGCTTGCATTAACATGCAATCAGGCCTATAAATAAATAAATGGGCCTGCTTAACAAAAATCCATGCCGTACAACCGTATTTCGATTGTAAATCTGATTGGGTCTATGAGACAAAAGACCTTTTAATCTGTCATTTGATTGGTTGGTACTAATTAGATTATACTATTGTTGTTAATATATTTTAAGTAATCACAACTATAATTAGATTGTTGTTGTCGTTGTGTGAAATTTAAATTTATCCTGCGACATTTTTTGATTGGATACTAAATATAAACTTTTGCTGTGGGTGGAAAGCGATCGGATTTATATAGTGCATAAGGTTTGTGTCAGGCTATTATTTGTAAAATAGTCAAACAGAGCCTGATACTCACGTTATGCTTGCATGTGTCAATGCAACTCAAAATTGTGTTAATTGCAAGTTGCAACTCTGAAGCTCTCTATGGGAGACATATTGAGCTTTTTGAAGACATGACAAAGGTTGTCGTGTAGTTTCACGGCATAATATATTTATGCATGACGATTGCACGTTAATTATCTCCTAGAATTTCTATTTTCAAAAAAAATCCCCGACTAGTGAAGAGATTTTCGCCAATTGTGTTTGATTCCCTTCTCTTTACTTAGATTAAAATTTAGTCTAACATGCAAGTTGTCCATTGGTGTACGAATTTTTCCTTTCTGTTTTCGCCTGCGCGATTTTTTCCGCCCCCCCGCCCAACACTTTTCTAATGGTCCGCCCCTTATACACGGAGAGATTGGCATGTTGTCAGTCGAATCTGTGATCGAACTCAAAAGTATGGGAGGGGCAAAAGCAATAGATCTATTTGAAGACATGACAAAGTTTTCATTTGCCATATCCGTAGAAGTTTATAATATATCAGTACACAGAGGTAGACTCGAAAACTTTTAGAGAGCACAATGTCGAAATCAGCAAAATCAAAAAACCCAGCGGCGAAAGATAAAACCACTTCAAAAGTCGGTCAAGAATTGGCAAGGGATAAAGAACGTAAGAGAGCAATTGAATTTACATGTGATAGTCGTTCAGTTTCAGACGGTCGAGGACAGCTTGGACGAGAGGGCGTGGTGGGATATATTCAGAGCGTATCCCCACCAAAACAGAGTCGAAAGAATACGGAGTACAGTAATTTCAAGCTGCAGGCTAAAAGTGGTCTTGTACCGGGGGTATGTTTCTCGTCGACAAAACGCAGCATCTTGGCGGAGCGCGAAGCCACGAAAACAGCGGTAAAGTTGGATCGTTTCACCTACGCGTCGGACGGGAAAACAATCTTTGTCAACGATATGACAAAGATATCCGTGCCAAATTCATCCGACTACGACTTTCAGTTCGTCGACAGCGGTATCCACCAAAAAGATCTACAATCTATCATCAAAAATTCGATGGACATGGATTTGGTAGACTTCGTCGCAAAAGTGATTGCAAAAGACGCAGTCGTACAAGTAGTTGGTTCGTCTCAGCTACGAAAAGTGGAGTGTTTTGTGGCGGACAAATCTTGCAAACAGGCAAAACTCATTCTTTGGGAAAATGATATCGAGAAGGTCCTGGTTGGCAACGTGTACGCATTCAGCAATGTCCGCGTGCGAAGCGACGCAGTTGATGTCCTTGGAGGCGAAGTGACCCTCAACACGACTAAAGATACAACCGTTGTTAAGCAAGATGGCCATGCCCTGACAAACCTCGTAGAAACTTTAAAAGAAAACGATCTTTTTAATACCAGCACTTCGTTAAAAGTTCCTTTAATCCACGCCATCGAGGAATTAAACCGCTTCAAACAATGCTGCGACTGTAAAAAAAAGATAAAGCAAGACAGCGCGAAGGTAGCCATCAAGTGCGACTCGTGTGGTCACGTTGTGAGGAGTTCCATGTGCCAGCTCAATCTGTGTTGTAAATTTAGTTGCCAGCAGAATAATTCGCCTGATGATAAGAAGCTTGTTCGCTACATCATGTTCAAGGATTCCATTGAAACGTTGGTTGGCGACATTACTAACCTCGATGACGACAAACTTTGCGAGAAATTGTTGTTATTAGAAAATTTCGAAATCACATTTAACCGAGACAACGTTGTGAGCAAATGTTCTCTTTTATGAATTACGCTGAACTTGCATGTTAATATGAACAGCTATAAATATGCAGTTGAAATTATTTATAAACTTTATATTCTTGGACATTTTTCGTAGATAAATAACATAGAAAACAACGAACAGTTAATATTAATATTATGAACAATTGACATTGTCATTGGGGTAAAAGTTTTCAACATATATATACATTTGTATGCTGAAAAATTCGTTATTGACATTTAATAGCATTGACATTGTATAATTAAAGGGGCATGTTGTAAAAGACGGACTGGACTGGACTGGACCGGACTGGACTGGACTGGGAAAACGCGGACTGAGTCCGTGTTTTACAAATCGTGGACTGAATTTGTAAAACACGGACTGGACTGGACCGGGAAAACACGGACTGAGTCCGTGTTTTACAAATCGCAAACTAAGATTTGTAAAACGCGGACTGAGTCCGTGTTTTACAAATCGCGGGCTGGAATTTGTAAAAGGCGGACTCATTTACTGAATGCACTAAGGATGAACGGTCGCACTAAAGTATTGTCTATTCTTATGACAAAGTTCAATGTTTTTACCGAGAAACTTCAATGTTTTTGATGATTATTTATGACCATTTGGTGGCTTCAAAGCTTGGATCTGGTTGTTCAACAGATTAACATCAGATCAGAACCTGTCAAGTGCTCTTGACAAACATCGAAGATTCTCACGCGAATAGGCAATATTTTTATCAACGACCGTTCATCCTGCAAGCGACGGTACATGGACTCAGTCCTGTACTGACTCAGTCGTAAAAGTTTTGGCGGGAATTGCACTCAGTCGTGAGAGTTTTGGCGGGAATTGCGGATATTAATAGGTTGGTCAAGGAATAATCATATCCTGGAGCTAAGGTTGGTAAAAATTACTATTATTTATTGTTTTGAATAAATCAAAGATTTTAAATGATAGAATGTTGAGTTAAGTAATTTACAGGGCTTTCAGAGGGAATTTATAGAATTTATATTGGTCCAAAGATAAGGGTTTAAGCAATGTTTTAACAGGAATTGATCGAGTTAGCTAATTTGTTTATTTTGTGTTCGTGGCGAAGAGTTTTCAAACGTTTTCACCCGTTTTCAAAATTACGCGATCAAGGACGAAAATGCTAGAGTTGACATGTCAGTTTTATGTCATTCGGTCACGAACTACACGAAGTTTAAACTTTGAGTTTTGCGGTTCCTTGTCGTTGTATATGCTTTGTATGCTTTATATAAACAGGCTTACAATGATTTCAAGATATTTTTAGTGGGAATTATTGTAAAATTTAAGCACAAACAAAATCATAACATCACCGTCAGGGATGCCCGAACCACGGGTGCAGCGGGTGCAAGTGCACCCCTTGCCTTTTGCATTTTCAACTTTGTGGGTGCAGTGCGGGTGCAGACTATGGGTGTATCGGGTGCACAAAACTTTTACAGCAGACAGAATTAAACGTCGCTTGAGGATGTGTGTGGGGGTGCTCCACCCCGCAGTCGTCAGGAATTCGGCAAAGTTCAGTGTTATCCATTTGGCGAAAGGTGAAACGGAAAGCATTACTTATGGAATTTTTATTGAAGCATTATGGAGGAATTGTGCCTAAATAATTGTATTCGGTCCGAAAAAAATTGGTGACGGGGAGGGAGGTCGACACGAATGTTGTATCATGACGCCGTTTCATTTTCATTGGTACCCTTTTGTTATGGAGTATGCCCTTTTGTTAACCAATTGCACCCCTTGCCCTCAGCAACTTCCAGTATCCCTGATCACCGTTCTAGCGCGCGCGTTTTATACTGACAGCTATATTCCAGGATAAATTGCAACCACGAGGTTGGATAAATTGTTATTTTTCAAACTTTAAAAGTTATTCACGACACATATTTCTGTTGTGATGGTTTGTATTGTGCTTGTATTTAACTCATCTTTGTTCAGTTTTGGTATTAAATACGGTTTAAAATGTCTTTTGACAGTTTGTTTACGTTTGCTATTTTTAGCAGTTTTTGTGACATAAAATTGACATTTGAAGTAAAGAGTATTTTTCAGGGAGGTCGCGTAATTTTGAAAACGGGTGTAAAAGGGTAGAAAAGAGTGTCTATAAATTTGCGATAAATATGCGAAATGAATACTATAATCGAATAACGATTTTTAGAAACTTCCTCGTATGACAACAATAAAAGTTAAGAAATTTCATATTTCTTGCAAATTTGTAGACACCTTTATTTAATACGCCCTCTTCGCCACGAACACAACTGAATAAACGAATTAACTCTATTTTCTTCTAATTATGATTAACACTAAATGGTATCTGCTATAAGAGCTAGCCTATATCTATACAGGCATACAACTATTTACATGAAACGGCCACACTTGATATACGCATGAGTTTCCTCGACAATAGTGGCACAAAGTCCCACATAGCTGAGCGTGCTCCTAAGATTGAACGCTGTTCATCAGTTTATTTCAAACAATAAATAAATAATAGTAATTTTTACCAACCTTAGCTCCAGGATATGATTATGACCGACCTATTAATTATCCGCAATTCCCACCAAAACTCTCACGACTGAGTGCAATTCCCGCCAAAACTTTTACGACTGAGTCAGTACAACAGGACTGAGTCAATGTACCAGCGCTTGCAGGATGAACGGTCGTTGATAAAAACATTGCCTATTCGCGTGAGAATCTTCGATATTTGTCAAGAGCACTTGACAGGTTCTGATCTGATATTAATCTGTTGAACAACCAGATCCAAGCTTTGAAACCACCAAATGATCATAAATGATCATCAAAATTATTGAACTTTCTCGGTAAAAACATTGAACTTTGTCATGAGAATAGACAATACTTCACTGCGACCGTTCATCCTTAGTGCATTCAGTAAATGAGTCCGCCTTTTACAAATCGCAGCCCGCGATTTGTAAAACACGGACTCAGTCCGCGTTTTACAAATCGTAGTTTGCGATTTGTAAAACACGGACTCAGTCCGTGTTTTCCCGGTCCAGTCCAGTCCGTGTTTTACAAATTCAGTCCACGATTTGTAAAACACGGACTCAGTCCGCGTTTTCCCGGTCCAGTCCAGTCCAGTCCGGTCCAGTCCAGTCCAGTCCAGTCCGTCTTTTACAACATGCCTAATTAAAGGCGCAAGGTCAGGCAGAAATATTTACATTCTAAAAATAAATACATATTTATAAACTGATTTATAGTTTGGATGTTTGACTTGTTTAAAAAGTTTAAAAGTTATGCATGTTTATATAAAAAAGTTTCATTAAAAGTTCTATACAAGATTTCGGCTTACATCTCTTGTGCGACTGATTTGATTTGATATTTCATTTTCAGTCACTTGCAAATGTTACTTAACCAGTATTTTATAAGGACAGTTCATTTTTAAAATTACTTCGCTAATGAACTCATAACTCGCTAATGAACTCATAACTCTTAAGAGGACTTGTTTTTTTACAGTAAGTCATTTACTGTCGTTCCAATTGAAGTGTTCCTCAAATATTGATTCAATACATTACCTCAGGCTGACCAATTCATTTCGTCAAGTTCCTCGAGATATTCATACACTTCCTGTGAAAGAGCCAATTCCAAGTATTTGATCATTTCTGGTCACTTCCTTTCTATTTATGATTGGTTAGTTGCACAAACAACAAAGGTGATTGGTGCATTCAAACTATTCAACAGGAAGTTTACAATTATACTAGGAAGTGTATGAATATTTTGAGGAACTTGATCAAATGAATTGGTCAGCCCGAGGTAATGTATTGAATCAATATTTGAGGAACACTTCAATTGGAACGACAGTAAAACACTCGCAGTTTCGTGCTTTATCTGATGTAAAACGCTCGGTTCTCGCCTTGCTTTTATTTTTGAGAAAGCACTAGCTCACTTGTCTTGAGCAGCAGCTAGACTAGCTGCTGCTCAAGACAAGTGAACAAGGCCCGTGACTGTACACGTTGGATTGGAAACGCCATACTGAACGCCATACAAATGATACAATGATACAAAAACCACTTCTCTTTGATAATTATTTACGCTTTACTGATCTGATGCAATTTTTGCTCTGTGTAGTGAGTGAGCTATTCTGTGGTGTAGCAGTGTTGCATAATTAATATACGACCTCTGATACGACTAAATAATATCGGCACAACATAAATTTATATATTACGTAGCATCTCAAAGATTTTATCAATACTCATCGGTCTGAAATGTTTATGTATTTGAAAACAACACTATCTGGCTCGTTCCTAGCTCTGCATAATGAATATACCGTCAAATTAACATCGGCACTTACAAGATTTTCTCAATATTTATAATTACTCCTGAAATGTTCATACATTTGGAAAAAAGCACTGTCTAGCTCCTTAATTCTTAGCTCTGTATAATCAATATACCCGTAATACATAACATCAACTTATTCTCAATGGTTTACTCAATATTCACGTCTGAAATGTTTATACATTTGAAAACAACACTGTGTCGCTCCTTCCTAGCATCGTCACGTCATCGTAATCTACGGTTTGATAGCGCATGCGCATTTGCGCTGCTAAAGAAAAATCGAGTGTTCCGGGGTAAAGATCTTTTACACAACATGAGAAGCGAATGTTATAAAATTTACAAAAAATTACAATAACGATAACTACTCCTCAAAATTTTTGTGAAAGTTGGCAAAAAGACAAAACAATATTTAAATAAGACAACTAAAATTGCCTAAATAACCTTCAAAGCATTGACAAAGTACAATAAATCACTACGAACATAAATCCATACACCCCCCGGAAAGTTTACACTATTATGCCTGATCCCTGACTCATATGAATTTTCCCCACTCATCACAATACTTGTCAAGTTTCGAAGAAACTTGACACTAAAAATAACGTTTCATTCTGTCATGCAAAAGGTGACTTCAATGACTTAGAATTTTTAATCCAATTAATTCGTTCCACAGTCACACAAAACTATTTCATGACGTTTTGAACGAGCAGAAATAATGAAAAATATTAATGAATCAT